CACGTCATTTTTTTTTCGGATCAAGTTCGAAATAGCCGACTGGCGGCCATTTTGTTTTAAAGAATTCAGTTCTGGATCCGTATCCAAGACATGTCTGGATTGATCAAGTTCAAACTTCACACACACAAGGTACATCATGTCACAAATATGTATGTGCATTTGTTTCATGATCTCATTAACGATAGCCAAATGGGGGCCGCTTTAAGGCCGAAAATGCATTGAAATCGCACATTTTCACCATTCCGGACCCGTATCTCAGTTATGCATGGATGGATTTTGTTCAAATTTGGTACATACATTAAACATAATAGGACCTTGATGCACGTCTTTCTTTTTTTTTCGGATCAAGTTCGAAATGGCCGACTGGCGGCCATTTTGTTAAAGAATTCAGTTCTGGATCCGTATCCAAGACATGTCTGGATTGATCAAGTTCAAACTTCACACACACATGGTACATCATGTCACAAATCGATATGTGCATTTGTTTCACGATCTGCTTAACAATAGCGGAATGATGGCCATTTTAAGGCCAAAACTGCATCAAAATCACAATGTGTTGTACATATGCAGGTGCATTTCGGTCATGATCTGCTTTGAATGTATATGTCACTCAAATATGAACGGAACGGGGACGTGTCATTGACAATGACTTGTAATTTACTATACTTGTACATTGATTTTTTGTGATCTCATTTTAATTTTAATGACATCTCCTCCACATTTTTTGAAAAATAATTTTTATTGATAGTGAAAGTACCAGGATGTGTGACCTTTAGGGGTCATTCACATATCCTATTGATTTGCATGTACACCATACCTCCATGAGGTGGATACCACAACAGAGATTTTATTTTCACATCTAATTTTAATTTGCCATGGGATTAAAATTGTTCTGATCAGATTAAGTTTCTCTGCACTATCATCCTGAGTGTATTTATTTCTTCCTGAGTTGACAGTAAACACAGTAGTAGTATGTCAGGTTATTGGTTTTGTGGTTATTTTGTCCATAGCAACAATCCCACATAATCAGTTGTGGTCATAAAGGAGTTGTATATTAGACAAGTGACTAAGATTCTTTGGTGCAATATCATGTCAAATATGTGAAGTTCAAGAGGGATCAAAAATTGCCTGTCTAGTGGTTTGAGAGTAAAAGTGATTGATCTTAGAATATCTCCTTATCAAGATATTCATGTTTAAATAGCGTGAGGAAATTTTCAAACATTCCAACTTAGTAAGTGCTCAGGGATAAGTCTAAAAATAGATTCACCAGCCTACAGGTACAGTCATTTTGTACAGTTACTTGTCTCAACTACACATGCAATCATTTCTGCCGTTTTTGAAAACTATATTTATCCAAATAATTGGACCTCAAGTTGGACTTTAAAAATATAGTTGGTATCATATATTGAAAAATCACAAAAAATATGCTACCGTCATATGTCAGGCATATGTTCATATGTTTGCCTGTTGTTAAATATACATTTCTGGGGGTGATGACATGCTTTTAAATGATGACCATTTTTGCAGAACTCAACTCATGATTTGAAAATTGCTCTTAGCCGTTGTTGTCGAGAGAGGCGCAATTATTGTAGCCGAATCTGAAAAAAATTGGCCATTGACTGTTAAACAGTTAGTAGACGCAGGGTGATTTATTTCTAACTTTTTGAAATTACACTTGCTTGAATACAACTCATTATTTTTGCAAATCACCTTACATGTAAAAGATTGTATAAACAAATGGTTGTTTTGAAAACACTTTTTCCTAGTACTGCAGTATTTTATTAATGCCTGGTTTCATTTTTGGGATGTGTATATATCCATCATCAGAGTTACAATGTATAAGCCTTTTCTTGTTATAATAATGCTTGCAGTTTAGAATTGAAGTTTTACCTGCTTTTAATGTATGCACTTGAAATCTCTTATCTTGGTTACCCAGGAATTGTCATGTACATGATAACTGGATGAATGTCTATTTCTGAATTGTCGTCGTTAATCTTGCATATCTTAGCAACCACATGTCTTCAGAGCTGTGGATAATTACAACCTGGAAAACTTAATTTTTCCTTTTATTATTTATTCATTGTGTTCTTTTGTAAACAAATGTTTAGAAATTTGGATTACGTAGAAAAATAATGAAAAAAATCCAGCTCATCTGTTAAACCATCATTGTTGTGATGAGCTGTATGCATGTCTATTTTAGTGTCGAAACCTCCACCTGTTAGAACTAATATAGTGTGTTTTTTTGAAAACTGTAAATGTATCTTTTTTTTGCACAGTAACCTTAATTTGTTCAGTCAGACACTGGTTTGTATTGGGGAGTATTGTTCACTTCCATTGGAGTACATTTTGACTGCCGGTGCATGTACTGTAGATGTATACGTACAAGACCTTGACGACTGAGCATAGTGACAGCAATGGTGTTCACCCCTTAGCAAAAAAAAATAGAATAGAATAGTATTTTATTGACACCGTAAAGAAAATATTACATATCTTTTTTGGTTCTGAACATCAATGAAGTTGAAATATATATTTGTTGTATACACACACATGAAGTATGCACTGCTCGATCGGTTTAGGTCTAGGCTGCTACCCATTATACATACTATAGACCGTGACCTTTATATCTGAAGCATTATTCTGTAAATATTTGATTTTCAAGTTCTTCTACAAGTTTGTATTGTGGATTTTAATCACAGTCCAGTGTGCACAGGGATTGTATTTTTGCAAATAGTAAAGTGTTGGCCGGGACCAGGCAGCGAAATGATTTTAAATAATGGGATTAAAATTATAATAAGACTGCCCACTTGTACATGCCTTTTGTATTTTATGCAGACATTACCTGAGGCACAAACTGTCTCTTTTCTGTTACCAAGTGAATACAGATCACGTTTTTCACAAATATTATGCCAAAAGGGAAATAAAGTCACTGGGGAAATTCTTAAAAATGATTTTGACTCCTTGGAGCAGATCTGTCTGTGGTTTGGAAAGGTTTATGGTTATCCTGCAATTAGTTCAATCATTTCTAACCCTAAATGCAGATAATATTATTGTATGTAAATAAGTCAACCTTTTGTAGGTTTAAATAATAATTCACTCACTGTGTTGAGAGCTAATAAATAAAGAGAGTACAAATATTACGTAGGTTGTCTTGTAATTATAATAATAAGCTTCATTGAACTAGTATCCTCTTTGGAATTTTGACAACATGGCGATAGAGAAAAAAAAAAGGTACATTATGTCAGATCAAGACATTCTTTTCTTAGTTTATGCCTTTCATTTGTAAACTTGCTCAATAATACTGTGACTAAAACTCGCCATACTTTTTCACATGGAGGAAATAATAATTGTAGGTCTCACATGGTCATTTGTTTCTTTCATATAAACCTGATGCCCAATACTGAGAAAAGTTACTTTTAGTTATAAAAATTTTGAATGCCAACATTTCCCACCTAATCTGTGTTCAACATTTCACATACTTTTATGTATTTGTTATATACCAGGTAATTTGTTTTGTTAAATTTAGACCAAGTATAGACACAATCTCACATTGGCTACAGGTCTTGATCCTTGTTTTTAATAAAAAAAATACATAAACGATTTTGTTTGTTATATTTTTTAGAAAGTTGTTTGAGTAAATAATAACTATTTTTTAATTTTTCAGATCAAGCCCTCCTGGAAGACATTCTCCTTGACAGCGGTTACTATTCTTCCTATAGTACGGTGAGTTGTATTTTTTTTTAATTGTTCATGTTTTATGATCTGCTGCTAAATTTGAAAGACACAAAACATTTTAGTTGTTATTTAAATTAGTCACCTCTTTTTTTATGCTGGACATTCCGCTGGGAATAGAGCATACTTTACTGAAGGCTTTTAAGATTAAATATTGCATGACAGTTGTATTTGTTTGCCACTGTCAATTAGTTAATTATTTTTTAGATAAAACGAGACACACTATATATAACTACTACTTTTAATCAGATAATGACGTAATGCAAATATGGTAATTAGATCTGGCATCGACAAGTTGGATTCATATCCTATCAGTTGATTCCTTTTATGAGTCAAACTTAATTCATTGCAGTTAGGTTTGAAATTAAAAGAACTCATTTGTTAACCCAGGTGACATAGTTAGACTCAAACACAGACTTATTTACAACTACACATGCATTATCTAGATTATGATCAATGTATCACAACCAGGGGGCGAATAGCGTGACAGTCTTGTATGTCCTGACTGTAGAAACGTTTGTCATTTGCACAAATAAAGTATTTGTTTTGTCTGCACCAACTTTGGTTGATGCCTCACACATTAATATCTGTATGAAGTTAGAAAGTTCAGCCACCAATTGAGACATGGCAGTTAAATAACAAAATACAAAGTATTTACTACTTGGATTACATGCTTCCCCAGAGTTAAAGCGAGAGGCTTGTCACCTGCGCACACACACAGGAATTGAGTCCCAAGCGACGATAACAACACACACTAAAAGCGCAAAAGCTCATGGGTGGACACTTGTAAACAATGACACGCTATGGCCATCTGACGCATGCACAGGTGATGACTCCCCCGCTTTAAATCTTGCATTGCAATGACACTTTTTCTGTTCTTTGGTGGATCCATAGTCTTGAAAGAGTCCTGGGTATTCTGTGTTTAAGGAATATGGAACATTCTTATCTATGCAGAGTGACAAGTGTAGCGATGAAGATGAAATAACATGAATGCATACTTTCTCGGGTTTAGCAATTATATATACCGGTACTAGTCAGTTGCACATGATTGTCAGATTTGTTCTATAAGATTTCATCTAAGGAAGTCATAGACATTCATTGGTAGCCAAATTTGTTTTTGTGATCAGTGAGACATCCTAAGGCAGTTTGAGCTATATCCAAGTTTTGCATAAAGCATGTTACTGCACATGTATGCAATGCATTATGGGAGAGAAATTCCAGTTTGGCATCTACTGAGTTACTGAGCATGCATGTATGTGCAAAGCCTTATGGGAAAGAAATTCAAATTGTGTACTTCTGAGCATGTCACTGGGCCTATGTGAAATGTATTATCATGGTAGAGAAATTCCCATTGTATGAAACTGAACTGAAAGTTCACTAAATAAAATGTCAATTTTTGGACCCATAATCAGACAAATAATTCTCCATTAACCTCCTTAAGTGCGCGTCACCACGATTACTTTACCTTAATTCTTTATGTGCCTTTGGAGTTCTAATTTGTACTGATACTTTAACAGTAACAATGCATCAGCTTTAAAAACGACAACTTACTTTTGTAGCCAGGGAAATACTTTATAGACATTGCAGGATGGTATATCCACAGCACTGAAATTTAGATCAGCGTGCAGCGATGTGTTAATTATAATATTAGATGTATATAATTGAGTAAAAATCAACTCTGCTCCACTCTGGATGTGACTAATGGCTTCTATAGAAACCTGTTCAATGGTATTTGTAAAGCACCTTGATAAAATGTTTAAAGGTAAAAACTGTTTAAAGCACCACGTTTTGTACATGTGGTGCGGTGACTGTAATGCTTAAATACTATGCAAGGGCATTTTAATTCGAACAATATATAAAGTTCCCACTGACTACAACATGTTCATTGTCAAGTGTAATGACCATTTAATTATGTATTTCAATATTTCAGGATTTGTAAAGATATGAAACTAATAATATGAGTAATACAACTTTAATTAAAATGCGCATTGTGAATCAAAGAGCATTCCACTATGGTTTCTTGGACACCTGTACAATAAATAAATACTGTAAGCCACTTTCATTTTGCAAGGGATTGTTTAATCGTTAACAATCAGCTCCATTGAGTTGTATATATAAATTGTGAACATTTATGAGTATTAAAACGTCACAGTTTACAGTAAATAAAAGACAAGAATATACAAAACATCCTGATATTTTCTTTTTTTGAAATGCATGTACTCAAATTGTACATAAATTCCCTGTCCATTTATTTAACCAACAAATACCTGTATTATTTTGAAATACTCCCAGCACCAATTTACTTCTAGCTATACAGTCACAGTCACACTGGGGTATTTTATGTTTCTTACATGTAGTTGGTTCCCACCAATAAATCTTCTAAATTTGTAAAGAATTCCGAAATAATCAATGTTTTCTGGTTACGCAATATCATGTCATTGGACTGACTACACATTTATCTTTATTAAAAAGAGAACAATTAGGTCATAAAGTGAGATAGTAGTTCTCATAAAGTTATTGTCCCATCTAACACCATTACATTACAACATTTCAATGCCTGCTAATGGGTAGTAAACATCAACTGTGGGAAAATCCTTGTTTGAATACTGACTTGCCAATAGGTATAATTGCAGCCATTTTGAATACAGTAGTCTGTGGTCATCCCGATGTGTTCTGCTATTTGTACATGTACTTAATGAACAGGTTTTAGCAAATAACTTTCATGACTGGTGCCACAAGTAGTGCAGGCCTCACTGGACCACTAAATATCCTCTGTATTCCGTTTCTACACTTTGAATCCAACCATTAACCTTTTCACCACCAGTTCCCTCTTTTTATCACAAATTCACAAAATAGTCTCGTTCATAGTCTGCACTTTCCTTCAGAAGATTGGAACAAAAATAGCCAAATTTTTGGAGTAAAAACTGAAAATTGATCCAAATTTTGTCCGTTGGCTCTAAAATTAGGGTTCATTTCCAGAAATATTGAGAAAATATAAGAAAAAAGTGCAGAAAAATGTGGGCGAGAAAGTGGTGAAAAGTTTTACTAAACTGCAATTGACTGTATGTCTGTGATTGCAATGATAAGTTCATATGCACTTACAGTCATGACATACATAGGAATATACCCTGAAAGACAGGTGTGTTTACAAATATTTGGTTACCATAGTAATAGAGATCAGAGTGCTACCAATTAATGTCAGAAAGCATAATAGTAGAAATCAATAATTTGACATGAACTTGTCATCCCAACGTGTGTGTACACATCAACCCCCAAGGCAGTTGGAATTACACATCATACAAATCAATATCCCGCTTCAATGAAATCCACTTTTTATGATGGTTTCTATGAGAAAAAGATCACTCACTAAAGTAACTATCTCATAGCAGTAGTAATTATTCCCATGCCAAATTAACAATTAATCTAAATTCTCTCACTTTGTAGACATATATGATTGACAATTGATGCCTAAGTATAATTTCTGACAAAAATTAATTAAATAGTATATTGTGTTCTTCACTTTGCTTTGGATAATTCTTAAATGACCAAACGACTTTTGATTATTTAAAAAGCATAATATATTCATTTGAAAAATAGAGCCTTGTGTATCTACGTGCTGATAGAAACTGTATATAATGATTGAATAGCTCACTTTGACAGAATTATACCAGTTTACTCAGTTAGTAGCACTTATGTAAATGACCAAAGTTTTTCAAATTAATATTTTAATGATCCAGTATACAATTAATGTAAATGTTTGTTTACATTGGCATTTACAGATGCACTTCTAATAGAGCAAATATGGTACTAATTTTACCAAATACATGTACATGAAGAAGGATAGCAACACCCAACTTTCCAATGAAATGAAATTTTCACCCCCAGCTATCATATTAGCTCTATTTGAAGTGCATCTCTGATTGAGGCTGTATGAGTAACAAACTTTCACTGGATTATTTATGCTCACATTTTAACACAACATTATTGACACAAGTACAGGTGCTTGTAATAAAGAAAATATGGTTGTAACACATTCCCATTATCTGTTCCTTGCAATCAACACTTTCGTGACGGTTTCTTGATCAATATATTGATCAATGAGAGCTGCATTATACACAGCATGATCAATACTCACGGATGCTAAATATCCCCAGGGTTGGTCACTGGTCATTTTTGTTGAATTTTGACAGCTGTTTTGTTTGGATTTTAAATTGCTCTGCCTCATTTCATGCTAACAGATCATCTTTATATAAAGTAACCCACTAATGAGTTAAAATATCATGGACTCAAAATATTCAGTTAACTCTACTTACTCTGATTCAACTTTTAAGCTATACTGTATTTGCACTGTAAAAGCACATCTCCACTAGAAGCGCACGTAAATCAAAAATTACACTTATTGTGTGCTGAATTTTTAAAATATGACTTATTTTGACCATAGATTCTAATAGACCAATCGTCCCAGGTATGTATGGTAGCTGGTGTATTGTTGTTGTAAACCTTCATGGCTAGAACAACAAATACAGTTTTGTGGTAGGATTATATAAACAATAATATTTTTTGGCTAAAATTCATATGATTTGATGGTTTCTATGGAATCCACATTTTGTGAAGGTCAAAAAACAACATTGAAATTTTCATTGTTACAAGTATTCCAATCTTTCTTTAACTCAAAATATTTACCTAGATTTTCCCTGCACACAAAGAAATTCACCGTACACTTTTTTTCTTCTTCATTAAATGCCATGACTGATTCTTGAAATGACTTTTTTTCTGTTAAAAATGTGTTTTCTATGTTTAAAAATGTATATATTTTATAAAAGTTTAATAAGTCTGACTCAGTGTTTTTTCTATAAAGTTATAATTGCAGTAAGCCAGCTTTTCAAACATCTAAATAGATATACCTGTCTATATGAGATAAGTGTTTGTGCTATCAAAACTAAAATCTTGTTGCCCATTTTTAATTAAAAAATGAACAAAACAGCCCCAATGTTTGTTGTATATGGAGAATGGACAGTTACATCCCATGGGAGGTAACAAAAGAGTAAAAGCTTTTCCGAGTGCATGTACTGAAAGTGTGCTTGCTATCTCAAATTGAATGTCAATCGGAGTGAAGTTCAAGGACAAATCCTATTGTGATGTTCAAATATTATTTTAATAGCTCTGTACAAAAAGAACTCCCAAATAACACAGTATCTGTAGAAATTGAGAAAGTAGGAATTCACTGCAGGGTCATATAACTTGCGTTGTTGACTTATACAGATGATAAAATAGCTTAGAATAGCTAAATTGTACATTATACATGAGTGGGGTTCATACTAGGGTAAAAATATTATATACATATATTAAAGTGGGCAGTACAAGAGAAGGTCGGCTTTAATATCATACAGGGAATTTTTCTAGAAAAAAACTGCAAGAGGGAGTACTGCAATTCAGCTACGCCACCAAGTAGGGGAGATAGGGTTCTTCCTACCAGGGTGTGGAGTTTTTGATAATTCTGAGTTAAAATGGAGCATTCTGTGGCTTCCTTGGGGCCAAAACTATTATCAGACAGGTCACAGTTGAAGCCATGTGATTCTCATAATTTATAAAACAAATTGATTATGACATGTAGCCAATGTGAAATTATATTTTTTTTTGTCTGAAAGTAACACAGAAATAATCAAAAAATACATACATGTATGTACAAATTGTTGCTCCAAAATCATGGCAGAACAAATTACAGCGTTCAAAAAGCTCAAAGACCAAGTAAATTTGTACCAACAAATTTGCAGTAGAAACAAAAAATAGTTTATACCAGTGAATTTGTTTTTAATGTGCATGTCCCAAATGTGCATTTACATAAATGACAGAGGTGTGTCTACGATCAAAACAAATCGTATTTTCAATGTTCCAGTACACAATACATGCAACTGTTGGTTGGCATGCTGTTCTATGACAGTCAGATACGCTTCTAATAGAGCAAATACAATAATGATAACTTAATTAGTTTAGTTTTGAAAAAATAGCATCAGTGCTAAACATCAATGCTATGTCATACATGTACATACAAATGTTTTATTTACATTGTGTGTGTGTGTGGTAGACCAACTTTGGGTTGGGCAGAGTTAGCATTATACCCAACACATGCTTACAAGGACACATGCCTCTTGTTTGAATCTTTTAAACATTGCACCACAAATTCAATCTAGTTTTAATACCAATCTCTGCAACATCTTAAATTTTGTCCTTCATTCATTCATTGTTGAACAGAAAGTTAATAAAGGAAGACGTAAATCAGCCCGTAGTTCGTGCTCTCTGTTGTGATCAGCCCCAAGATATGACTTAGAAAACTAATCAGCTATGTCCTTTTATCGTTGATTGATTGATCACACAAATGATATCTGCTGGCAGTGGACTTAATGAGTATCTTATTGCTTCGTTAGACTGTAATTTATCCATATAGGAAGGGGGCTTAACCAGTCAGACATTGAATGATCTTTTTATTGACCACATGTTGGACAACTCTGTTTTGGTAACATTTTTTTTTAGCTGATGTGAACTTCGGCCCCACATTTAAACTCAGTGACAGTCACTGAGCCTAGGTGTGTGTCCTCTTTGTCTACCTATGATAGTCATTATAAGTGTTACATAAAAATGTCTACTGTCCATTATATATTTCCAGATGTTGTGTATGCAATTGAGGTTCTAGTTGCCATGACACCAATAGATGGCAGCCATCTTTAATAATGTGTGTTTTAATTTCAGCCTGATGAAAACCATGCACTTACAATGGTTATTTTACAAGATATGCAGGATAGGCGGTTTAGGAAAAGGTACAAGAAAGTTGGGGAGACACTAATAGAACATGTCAACGAAGTAGAAGAGGATTTAAATTCTTATAAAACAAAATTCAATGCAGCCCTGGCGAGGAACAGAATTAAGTTTAAAGCTCCCAGCATTGAGTACTTGTTACCGGAGCAAGTGAGACAGAGGGAAACAAAAGCTGTAGATCTGCCAGTATATGCTTGGGTGAACCAAATAAAAACAAGGTAGAAACAGTGTTTGTCGATATAAACTTTGTTTGTCTATATAATTACATTCAATGGTTGAAACAACATTGGTGATCGAACATCCATCTGTGATTTTGTGTAAAAATAAAAACAAAGGTGTTTACTTCAGTAATCACATGAGGGCAGTATATATATAAAAGTCAATGTTTGTTTGTTTTTTCAAATGACTCAGGATGGTATTTATTAAAGTTTTATACAATACAAACTAATCTTTTTTTGATCATGGTAATTCTTATTTTGTATCTTGTTTTCCACAGTACGCAAACAGTGATTGAAACACTGAAAGAGGAAGGTTTCTATCAAGTGATGTCAGATGACAAACTTTCAAGTACAACGTTCTACCTGGACACGCAGTGTAAGAATATTATTGTGTTTCATCCTGATCTGAGACTGGAACTAGAAAGCCACGAACTTGTACAAGACTTTCATCTCATACTACAGGTATAGTGGCTTTATTAATTTCAAATAATGCAGGCCTATAATACCAGTGAATGTAATCCTTGTGTGTGAGGTTAACTTTTGTCACCTGCCACAGAATAAACTTTAATAATTTTTTTTCATATTTTTTAATTTTTTTTATCAAGGCGTGTAATTAACAAAGAAATTAAGAAATTAAAGTAAAATATGTAAAAATGTGGCTCTGACATTTTGGTGGGAAACCATATAGATTCAAAAGGTTAAGTCGCTAAACGTAAATTATTGTCTGTTGAAACCATGTGACTACATGCCCCTCAAATAGTGTTTTATTTTCCTGTCATTGCGTCTGCTGTTCCAAATACTGTGTGTACAAAGATCAAAGGAACAATAGACATGATGACAGGAGTAAGTGGAACACTGTTCGAACGACAAAGTCTTGGCTGGCTGTCTCACTCTCAACAAGATCTTGGCGGGAATTTACATCTAAGGTATACTTCAACACAGTAAAAGAAATATTTACTTTTTGGCAGCCATGAAACAGAGTACTGTGCAAATCTAAAAGTCAAATATTGACTTGGATTTAGATTATTTCCATTAATTGTTCTACATAGCCATTAACTAAACTTTTCTCTTTATATATATAGGATAAAGCAAGTTGTTTTGGTCCGCATTCAGTCAAGGCTTTACTAAACGAAGGTGATGATATCATCCATACACACGTTGGATCCGGTAAAATAACCGCTCATCTATCATCACTTACCAATCAAGATAGCAGTACAGTGTTTGCATTTGGTATCAATAGTCCATCTCATCACAATGCGATTAGGGAAAAAATGGAAAGTTTTGGTGCTAAAAGTATCCTTTGTATATAAATCTCTATGATTTCTGTCACTGTATATCTTTTGAACGATGAAGTCAAGTTTTGTTATCTTTCATAAGTCCAAAATTAATGACTTCATGCAAAATTTTGGTAGGAATTAA